AAAAATTTTTCATAAACATTTTATCTGGATTCTTTTCTAAAAGGTTAATATATAAAAAACTATGTGGTTCATCAGTGGCAGTCTCATATATTTTATAAATTAGTTTCTTGCTTTCATGTAAATTATCGCTTCTAACAATTGCTGATAATTCGTCTTGCAATATTTCTATCTCTTTAAAATTTCTAACTTTATAATAAAACAAATGACTTATATTTACTCTAATAATTGGTGGCACGGTTGATGATTTTTGAAGACTTACAAGTGTTGATATTCCACTATGACGACCTCTACAAAATAAAGAATTTAACAATTTGTTATTTCTTGTTATTGCTGGATTATCAGATACATCATCCAAAATTACCAAAATATTAAATAATTTCTTCGTTCCTTGTTTTTTCTGATATTCAATTATTTTATTTTGAGTTTCTATAACTCTTTCTAAATCTTCAACATTGAACTCATCCCACCAACACGGTTCTTTATCATTATCTACTTTCAAACCTTCTTTAATGTATTTTTTAACAGGCAACCAAATACTATCTAAATTTACAGATGGAGACCAGATAAAAATTCTTTCAAATGCTCCTCTATAAATATCAAGTATCATTGATACAAGTAAAGTTGATTTTCCACTTCCAGATGGACCGACGATCATAGCTCTCATAGGCAATTTAGGGACGACCTCATGCTTACTTTGCTTAAAGTCATATTTGATTTCATCAATTGGTTTTACATCAGGCATAATAAAAATAATATTATAAATACTTATAAAATAAAAAAATATATAATATAATTATATCATAATGACAATAGAATCTATTAATTTAAGTGAAATTACTAGTATTCGGAGGATATTTAAATTCGGTGATGTTTTAGTTCCAGAGACTGGTCAAATTTATTATGATACGATTTTAACGTTTTTATCGATAATTAATAACAAAAAAAAATATAATACCTAAATCATCAATCGAAAACGAGGATAGCCTAAATTATAATAAATTAATAAATTTTATGAAAGATTATCCCGATAGATATACAAATGAAATGATAAATGGTGTGCAAGAAGTTATTAATAATAATATTCTAGATGTTGATATACCAACTGCATTAAAACTTACTAAAGCTAAAGAAAATAATTTAAATAAATATTATATTTAATATTAAGGGAACATCGTTTTATGATATGATTGGTGGCGAATATCATAAAATGGAACAGGTTTTCCATTGCTACAATCAATAAGCATTGAAGCTAATTAGTTTGTATCTCTCTCGCGTGTGCAATGAAAACCCCAAGTGCTGTGCCCCATCAATATTCTATTATGCATGAAAATAATAAGATTAAATAATCTAAATAATTATTTTATCTTATTATTATATGACTGTTATCCATTGTAATTGTTGTAAAACTTATGATAGCAAATATTTATTTAAACATCTAAATTCAAAACATCATCAGAAACTTGTAGAATATAGATGGAATAAAGACGATACAATGAAAAAACTTTACAAGGAAAGAAAGACAGAAATGAAAAAATAATTTATCTTATTATTTAATATGAAAAGGAGCTATACAGATTATATTAATATAATAAATGAAATGGAGAATATAGAACGGGTTGTCATAACTGATAATAGATGTAAAAAAATATGTTACTTTATTTTAGAATTAATTAAGTTTTTAATACAATATATTAAAAATATAAATATTAATATAAATGCCAAAAAAGAAAAACAAAAAGAATAAGACAGGTTTAAGTGTTTCTTCAACTGATGAAGATAGCGGAGAAATTGTTAAAGAAACAGCAGTAATTGAGGTTGCTTGTCCTATGTGCAAAAAGATGTTAGAACTTAAAAATGAGTTAGAAATACAAAGGAAGGGAAATTGTAAATGTAGTTGTGTGCCAGTTGGTTTTAAAGTAAGTAAAAATGATAAGAAAATGAATATTGATAAAACTAAAGACACTATCAACTTAGAAACTGATGTCCATAATATAACTTTTAAATTTGGTAGGCAAGCAACACCATCCGATAATAATGAAAACGAAACGCAGGAAACTGTTAAACAAATCATGAAAAATTAGTATTTAAAGAGTAGATTTAACATAATTGCACTTTATAAATAAATATTTAAATAAATATCTAATTATTTATATAATCATAATGCCAACTATGAATGGACAAGACCATAGAATTATAACTTTTGACAATGAAGAAATTAAAGACCTATTCGATGGTGATAAAAACTTTGCTAGACAATTGAGTATAGAATATTTTTATTGGTTAGATGCTAAATTTAATAATAAATATTTTATGAAAGGTATAACTAAACCAGATAAATTTGATAAAATGTTAAAGTTTTTTGAAATTACAGGTAACGATGAAGGTTTAATAAAATTGAAAAATAAAATTGATGAAAGACTCTTAGAATATAATTTATTTACATATATAACATTAAATTATTCAGGTAAATTATATAATAAAACGTATAATTAAATAAATAATTATCTAAATAAATATATAGTAATGTCTGAAAATGAGAATTATACTATTAATGATTTAATGAAGAAGATAACATTAATTGGTAAAAATATCAAAACCTTAAATGATATGATTAAATCCATTGATGACAAAATGAAACCAGTTGAACTCCATGAAGATAAAGAAAAAATCGAAAAGATATTTCAAGCAAAATCTATAGGAAGACCAACGGGTGATTATCCTACAAAGCAAAAGAAATATTGTGATATGTTGAATACAGGAAAAATCAAACAACCTAAAAGCACCACTTTAGAATTTTATAAAATTTCAAAAAATGATGATGGAGTATATGTATTATTTGAATAAATAATATCTAAATAATTCTAATAAATGAATTTATTAGAATTATTTAGCAAGAAGACCTATACAAAATACCTAGCGAATTAATTTGTGAAATCTTAGTGAGTTTGACGGAATAAGGATTAACATAGCTTGATTTTTGGATTAACATAGCTTGATTTTTGGATTAACATAGCTTGATTTTTGGATTAACATAGCTTGATTTTTGGATTAACATAGCTTGATTTTTGGATTAACATAGCTTGATTTTTGGATTAACATAGCTTGATTTTTGGATTAACATAGCTTGATTTTTGGATTAACATATGGCTTGATTTTTGGATTAACATGGCTTGTGAAATGTGGTGCTATAATTCTTAATCATACTATAATAATAACATTTATACCCTTATATGTTATAATTATAATGTAAAATGACTTAAAGGAATAAAGACTTAATATAATAAGAGGAAAATGCCAATGCTAGGAGTGACAGAAAAAGAGCTGGAACAGGATAGAAAGATAATATTGAGTTTCATTAAGGATAATCCCTATCCATCGTATAAACAAGTCATTGAAATAATTAAAAACGATAAAACAATGAAAGATATATATCCAGATATGTTCGCTGAGTATGGAGAACAAAATCATCAATGGATAAAAGAGATCTACGAAAACATAATGAAAGAAGAACTCGTTAAACGGAATGGTAATAGTATTAATGAAAGAGGAGGAATGACAACAATGCATTGTAATTATTATACTTTGGTATCAGTGTTGCGTTATTTAATACAACAAAGAGCACCAATGAAAGATTATGACGTTAGCTTAATCTGGTATAATATCAGAAACATTTTGAGCAGTTCTTGGAACAACATAGGAGACTGGAAACACTAAAAACAGGTTTAATCATACTATGATTATCACATGTAAAATATTATATGTTATAATTGTAATATATTTATCGTTTGTAAAGATTGAATTATTATAATTTGCTTATCTCTTTCAAAGTGCGTTGTTTAGACTTGGCATGCTTCTTCAATTTTTTCGTGCTTTGGCTGTTTGTTTTTGTTTTGTTTGATACTCTTGTGATATTTTTTGTTGGTATGTTGCTTTGTTTTTTGTTGATGTGTGTTTTTGAGTTTGGGTTCTTTGATGATTTAGAGTGTTGCTGTTTTGTTGGTATGCTTGATTGAATTATTTAATGTTGCATGCTGTGATTAAATATTTTTGTTGCTGGTTGTGATTATTTATTTTGTTTGCTTGTTGTTCTGGATTTTGTTTTCTGTTTGTTGTGTTGCTGTTGGAGAAAAAATAGTAGAAAGAATAATTCTTTGAATTCTCCTTTTACTATTTTTTCCCCACCCCCACCCCACCCCCACCCCACCCCCACCCCCACCCCACCCCACCCCACCCCACCCCACCCCACCCCACCCCACCCCACCCCACCCCAACCCACCCCAACCCAACCCCACCCCAACCCCCCCACCCCACCCCAACCCCACCCCAACCCCACCCCACCCCACCCCAACCCAACCCCACCCACCCCCCCACCCCACCCACCACCCCACCCCCACCCCACCCCACCCCACCCCCCCCCCACCCCACCCCACCCCCACCCCACCCCACCCCCCCCCCCCACCCCACCCCCACCCCCACCACCCCCACCCCCACCACCCCACCCCCACCACCCCACCCCCACCACCCCACCCCCACCACCCCACCCCCACCCCCAACCCCACCCCTACCCCACCCCCACCCCACCCCACCCACCCCACCCCACCCCACCCCCCCCCACCCCCACCCCACCCACCCCCCCACCCCCACCCCACCCCACCCCAACCCCACCCCCACCCCCACCCCGCCCCAACCCCACCCCAACCCCACCCCACCCCACCCACCCCACCCCACCCCAACCCCACCCCACCCCAACCCCACCCCACCCCACCCCAACCCCACCCCCACCCCCAACCCAGCCCCACCACCCCACCCCCACCCCACCCCACCCCACCCCACCCCACCCCACCCCCACCCCACCCCACCCCACCCCACCCCCACCCCACCCCCACCCCCACCCCCACCCCCACCCCCACCCCACCCCCACCCCCACCCCCACCCCCACCCCCACCCCCACCCCCACCCCCACCCCCACCCCCACCCCCACCCCACACCCCCGCCCAGGCCTCCGGCGACCGGAACCCGAAGCTCTCCGCCGCCAAAGTCTGCAGCGCCGCCGCCGAGGTGCCGAGCTCGAAGAGCTCCGCGTCCCAGGCCGCGCACAAAGCCGCCGCGCCGCTGGACCTGGAATCGCCTCAGCGGGCGGGCAAGGCACGGGTGAAACCGCCGGGATCCAAACCCGTGGTCTTTCTCTTACCCTATGCCCTCAATGGAAAATGCCTTCTTTGCTTTGTTAAGCCGCCTGGGAAAAGTCGGAACACATATGTCCAGCAGTGAAATCGGTCCCCTTCGAAACCAACCAGGGAAAACAGCACATAGTACTAAGCAAATGGAAGGACAGGCCGCAAATCCGGCGATTCAAATGCTTGGTTTTGCTCTCGCAACCCTTGGTGTGGGCTTGCAACAAGCTTTGCTTTTTTCAGCCCCCTACTAAACAGGAACAGACCCAAAAGAGCCGAACCCGTGCCAAGAACAGTGAAGGACTCCCCTACAAATTAACGGAAGGAACCCAAAAGAGGCGTCCTATTCCCAAAAGGAGGTTCCTCTACAAACAGTTGTGTTTTGGGCTCCATGTCAAGCAGTTGTTCGAGTACTTGTTTTTGAAACGGTTGTTCAAACAGGCCCATGGAAAAATGCGGCAGGCCCCCTTCCCAAAGCGAACTGTGAGGTGGATCTGTTGAACACCACCTTTTGAGCAGACATACGCCCCCAAATCTCGAGCATAGGGAAACAGGGCCAGAGGTCAAGCTCTTTACTGGCTTCCCCATCTATGACTACTGAAGGTCACCTTGAGCACCTTCACAGGTGTTTGCAACAGGAAGTAACTTGAAACGGGCTTCGTCTTTCCCCGCACGCGGTGTTTACAGGACCCAACTTGCCGGGGCGCCTGCCGCGCGCTTGGAACCGCGGGTGATGAAGAGGGGCTGCGAGGGGTCGGCCTGGCGGGTGGGAAGGCATCCAATGAGCTAAGCTCAGACCAGCGATGGGGCGAGTCACGCCTTGTTCAAACCATGTCTTGAACCACTAATGTTTCGACACCCATCTTTGGGCTTCCGATTGAAGGGACCATGGATCTGTGTAAACTTCGCCAAAACAAGCGTGCCATATCTTTAGCTTTGGTGTTCCTAGTGCCCAAAGTCCCTTCAATGGAGACCGAAGAAAACTGCCAACCTCAAATTTGTTCTGGAAAAGGGTGACCTAAAGGGAAATCATAACAACTAGAAAAAGAACGACAACTATATTTTGAAAACCCTCCAAGCGCGCGCCCACGCCAAGCCCCGCCTCCGCCGGAGCCTCCGCCGGCGGCTCCGCCCAGAGCCGGCAGGTGGTTCCGGGGCCGACGAGCTCCAGCACCACCTGAGGGTGGTCAAAGAGTTGGCATCCAAAAAGGAATTCAAAACAAAACATGGCCAAACTTGAAAATGGAATTCAAATGGAATCCTAAATTTGGCCAAATGCCATTCAAACATGATATTCAAACATGGATCATGGAATTCTGGCCAAATTTACAAATGGTATCCAAAACAAAATGGTATCCAAAATGGTATCTAGAATGGAATTCATTTTGGCGGAACCCTCTCCAATACAAAGTACAACAGCAGGGGGATATAGGGGGATCACGGGGGGATCATGGAATTCTGGCAAAATGTAAACATGGTATCCAAAACAAATTGGCATCCAAAATGGTATCCAGAATGGAATTCATTTTGGCGGAACCCCTCCCCATTAAAGTACAACCACCAGCGGGATATAGGGATCACGGGGGGATCATGGAATTCTGGCAAAATTTAAACATGGTATCCAAAACAGAATGGTATCCAAAATGGTGTCCAGAATGGAATTCATTTTGGCGGAACCCCTCCTGATTAAAGTACAACGGCAGGGGGATATAGGGATCACGGGGCGGATCATGGAATTCTGGCAAAATTTACACATGGTATCCAAAACAGAATGGCATCCAAAATGGTGTCCAGAATGGAATTCATTTTGGCGGAACCCCTCCTCATTAAAGTACAACGGCAGGGGGATATAGGGATCACGGGGGGATCATGGAATTCTGGCAAAATGTAAACATGGTATCCAAAACAAAACGGTATCTACAATAGGCATCCAAAAATGGAATTCTGGCGAAATGAGATTCCAACATGCACCAAAACCTGCGGTCCAGATCCTGGTGCTTGAATTCTGGCCAAATTTACAAATGGTATCCAAAACAGAATGGTGTCAAAAATGGTATCCAGAATGGAATTCATTTTGGCGGAACCCCTCCCCATTAAAGTACAACGGCAGGGGGTTATAGGGGGATCACGGGGGGATCATGAAATTAATTCTGGCAAAATGTAAACATGGTATCCAAAACAAAACGGTATCCAAAATAGGCATCCAAAAATGGAATTCCGGCGAAATGAGATTCAAACATGGACCGAAACCTGCGGTCCAGGTCCTGGTGCTTGAATTCTGGCCAAATTTAGACATGGTATCCAAAACAGAATGGTATCCAAAATGGTGTCCAGAATGGAATTCTGGTTGGCGGAACCCCTCCTCATTAAAGTACAACGGCAGGGGGATATAGGGGGATCACGGGGGGATCATGGAATTCTAGCAAAATGTAAACATGGTATCAATTGGTATCCAAAATGGTATCCAAAATGGAATTTGGCGGAACCCCTCCCCAGTAAAGTACAACCACGGCGGGAGATCATGGGGGGATCCGAACAGTAAATACTATCGGGGGAAGATGTAAGCATGGTATCCAAAACAAAATGGTGTCCAAAAATAGTATCCAACATGGAATTCTGGCAAGACACAATTCAAACATAGACGAAAACCTGCGATCCATATCCTGGCGCTTGAATTTTGACCCACAACTACCTGGCTGATTTTCGCGTCGTTTCAAGGTTGGGACAAGGGAAAAGAAGCCAAGCTGGGTCCAGTTTGAGACTCGCCATTTGGCTAAGTCTGGGGGACACAGTTGGTGGACGTGAAACAGGGGGATGCATGGAGCAGGCTGTCACTCTGTGATTCCGACGGCAGAATCCAGCACAGGGTTATTTACACATTGGGCGTTGGTTGTTAGTTGGCTTTACATGAATTTGCAAGAGAACATGCAAAACACAACTACATGTATTATACTTACAACAAAGTCAGTATCTGTGTTGCGATTTGCCATTTAGGTGTCCTAAAACTTAAGCAGACCTGCTATGAAAACTTGCCGAAATCATGAACACTATTGTTTTAGGTGGTGTATTGAATTAGGTAAACACTGATGTTAATTTGCAAGGTTGCATCTTTATCTGAAACTTGATCAAACTCAAACTGTGCTGTCATGTGATAAAAATTAGATCAGGGCTGGCTAACAACAAGGAACAACTTTTTTATGTTGACAAAATATGTGATGTGTTCACATTGGTCATGCACAGTATGCCGACCAAAATTAAGATTGTGATCCAAATCTTGCTAATATGTTTGGTACTGCAATACAAACCTTCAAATGTGTGTTGGTGGAACAAAAAGCTTGCTTTCTCTCAGGGTAGAAAAGAAACTAAACAGTAGTTTGAAAGAGCCCAATGCGCCTATAAAAACGCTAGAACCGGAATCAATTGGCGCTCCAAACGGGGAGCATAAAGGGGGTTGATTTGGTGACACAGCCTGGCTGATGTGGGAGGGGGAACCCAGCAGCGGGGCAAGCTTTGGTTCCATTCCACAAATCCATTCCAATTCCCTCCCAAACATGGGGACCTAAAAGGCACCCTCCACAAATCCATTCCCTCCCAAACACCTCCACAAACCCATTCCCTCCCCATGGGGACCTAGAAGGGACCTGGCTTGGACCATTCTCCTTGACGCCCGCTGTCAGGTTCCAGATCGGAACTCCCTGCCTTCGGCAAGCTCCCGCCGGCCAGCTCTGTACATAGGCCCAAACCTCATGTAGCAAGATCCCGACTCCTTTCGCCTCAAACCATCAGCTCACCTTGGGCAGCTCACCCCTCCAGCGCTCCCGAACCAGTTCCCCTCAAGGGCAGCTCACCCTTTTTTTGGGCGACAAAAGGTGATGCTCCGGGGAAATATAGGGAGACCCCTCTCCCTGCTCGCTGCGATCTTGACTTCGAGTCTCTGCGATGTCGGCGCTTCGCGGGATTGTTTTTTGTCGTCGTTTCTGACCTTGCTTGTTGCGCGAGTGGTGCCTCATGTTGACTCGGTTGCAACTCTTTTTTCATATCCTGCAATAGACCCAAGCATTAAAACCAGCGGATGATGGGGCAACGTTCCGCCCACTTAGGCCATTTCATCGCGGAAAGGCCCTACCCCAGTTTACTCCTTCTTGAGTTCCCTGGCTTTAACGGCAATCCTCCAGATCCCGTTTTGGACTCCATTTCTGGTTTGGTTTCCCCCCCCACTCCCCAAAAAAACAAAGGAGTTAAAGGTTTGCTTACTACGCCCCCCAAAAAAAAAAGAAGAAGAAGAAAGAACAAAAACAGGCAGGGGTGCGCCATGCAGTCAATCTTCCTTCGTAACACACACACACACAAGAACACAACGGCCGAAAGGGCCACCTACTTTGGGGGATCCCCATCCCACTTGAATTGGTTGGTCATCTCTCTTTTGTGTTTCCTTTTATGGTCATTTCCCTTCCCACGAAACAAGCACGGGCACTTTATTGCTTCCCTTGTTTGGCTGGATTACACCCCCCCAAAAAAAGAAGGAGCTTATTTGGCAGAGACTCCACGGGAAAATACACCATATTCATTTCAGCGAATGGAAACCACCCCAGCTGCCGTTGATAAGTCCCAGAAACCGTGCAAATTCAACTCACCCTTCCTTGGTGATTTGGATTGGTGGTTTGAAGGTTAGATGTGGTCACCGTTTCCCTTAACCATCCGAAAAGGGATACGTGTCCTTTTTTGTTAATAGATAGCCCTGGTAGATGGAATAAATCAACCAATCTAAACCAGTGGAACCCATCTATTTGTAATCAAGCTAACCTAAAAAGGACACCTATGGCACCCTTCTGCCTATGGAAGCAACCCACCAGAGGGGTCTTCCAGGACCCCGAAACGTCAGGTTCAATGGCAACGTGGAAGGCATGGTAGACCATCCTCAAATCCCCCGCTAAAGGTCGAAAACGTTCAGTGCGCTTGGATGCCAACTACCACTACACCAACCAAAAAACATACACAAACATCCTAAAACCATCCTTAAAACCACCAAAATCCTAAAGCCAACTAAAAACCACAAACAATCCTAAAATCAACTACAAACCACCAAAATCCTGAAGCCAGCCTAAAAACCACCCAAAAAACCTAAAACCAACCAAACAGCCACCTTAAAGACCTCAGGAACCGCCCGGGAAAACCCAAAAAAAACGGCCGCCGCACGCCCGGCCGGCCGCGGCCTTGCACGGCACGGCCGAGACGCCCAGCAGCAGCTCGGCGGCCTTCCCCCACAACGCGGCCACGGAGACCTCCGGCAGCGCCACCGGCAGCTGCTCCGCCTCGCACTCCTGCGGTTGGCGCGATGCGTGGTGGTTGGGTTTTTGGTGCGAAGAGACCCGTTTTGGGTGGTTGTTTTCTAGGTGAGTTTTTTAGTTCTGTTTTTTTTTTGGTTAGTTTTTAGGTTGGTTTTTAGGTTGGCTTGAAGCTTGGTTTTTAGCTCGGTTCTTAGACCCGGTTTACTGTGGATGGACGAAAGCCATTTCGCAACACCCGTTCAGAATTCTGGATTGATGATTCCCTTGTGAATACCAAGCGAACCATGGATCCCCGTGGTTTCAAACTGGTGCAGGATTTCGTCCATCCACAGTAGGTTAGTTTTTGAGGCTGGTTCTAGTTTTGGCTTGTGAGGCTGGTTCTAGGTTTAGCTTTTAGGGCGGTTCTAGGTTGATGTTTTGGGTCGGTTTTTAGGTGTGTTTTTGTTGGTTGGTGTTGTAGGTTGTGTTTTAGTTTGTTTTGTTTAGGTTGGTTCCAGGTTGGTTTTTAGGTTGGCTTGTAGGTTGATTTAAAGGAGAACCAACAGGAAATAGCAAACAAAAATAATCCGCCGTTTTGAGACCTGTTTGGGGGCTGGAAGTGCAACATATTCTCTGTTCGAACGTGTTGCATGGCCCAAACATCTTCGACAACATGACAGCACCCCCAAAGAAAGGAATCTTCATAGGTGAGGTCTACCCCAAACCAAACACCCCCACCCCCACGTTGCTTTCGGTCGCTATCTTCCAATTCCAATTGGGTACCTCTTGACTACTAATAGCGTTTTCGCCTCCTGGAAAAAACGAGAACATATTGCCAGTCATGAAATCGATTCCCTTCAAAACCAACATAAACAAAAACATTTTCTTAGCCAAATGGAAGCAAACGTCCACCGAAAACCAAACACCCCCAAACCCGTCGCCCCAGTCCACCTCCCGGTACCTACCTCGTTTCTGACTTTCGTGGTGTCCTCCAAGTGTCTGGCGAGGTCCCCAGGCGTCACCCAGCACCCGTGCAACGTCTCGCCCTCAAAATGCCTCAAGTTGCCCAGTCGGAGAGCACCAAAAAGCTGAAACCCATCCAGGTTTAGACCCCTTGGGTGGGCTGTGATACAACCAAAAGGGCTTCCCCAAGACGTTCAACCCCATGTAAAGGGAGAGATTCCCTTGTATCACAGAAGTGGGGGGAGAACCCCCTTTCACAACCCTGCCTGAGTGTAGAAAGGAGTGCCCGAAGGACTGGTGGAGACGAACATTTGTTGCACATCTGCACGAATCATGACATGAAATCTAGTTCAGTGTGATAAGGCCACAGAAAAATGTTCGCGCACAAAACAAAGATGCGCCCAAAGACCGACCACAAGAACTTGCCCTTGCACAGATACTAACCAGCCATGGGCTAGTTCATAGCACCCGTTTCGATCATTGGGGGCAAACAAATCATTGATGCCCTAAAGGTCCCGACTGTTTTTGGGCCCTCCAAATGGGTTGTTTTGGAGGGCCCGTGAGGAATTGGTCGGGGTTCTCCATTGGAGGGTCCGGGGGTCTGCGTTGGAGGGGTCATGACCCTTAGGGTGTTAGATAGCAATCGGAATAAAACAACCAAAGCATTGATGTTACAAGCCGCACTGACTTCCTCAATCACTACCCTGCATGGCAAAAGAGGAGTTGAACCCTGACGCACCGACTTTCACAGGAGAGTGTAGATATATAAAATGTGGTTCGTCGTTGGAGAATTATTGTAGCCACCGCAACACCTCTGATCAAAGAAAGCAGAAGAACTCTGGCACCAAGTGTGAACTGGTGTATTTGAAGAACACATGCCTTGCGCATGGAATGGACAGCTGCGAAATGAAGCAAAATGCCACTGACTGGAGAACGGGATTGGGCAGAAAAGCAACAGGGCAAATAGATGGATTTCCCTGGTAGATGAAATTCAACCACCAGGTAAACCAGGAACCGCCCTCTATTTTTCCACTCAAACCAAAGAAAAACACCTGAGTCACAATCAAAACCCGGTATAAAAATTGGTCTACCCATAACCATGCTTCAAGAATTAAGAAGGCGGATGTCCGCAACTATTTCTGGCTGAGAGTGCCCTTTACTAACCGCATCATCAATCTTCGGGTTTTGAGGACGTGGCTCAGGTTAGGAACAGGGCCGTTGCTCCAGGCCATTCTTTCCAGGGATCTTCTTTCTAGAAACCCTCCTTATTTTTCCCACCACAACAACCAAAACAGACACCCATGATTTGGACCCTCCCTGCCCCCAACCCAGACCAAACCCTGGGCGCAAATCGCTCGCCTCATCCTCCGCGCGCAGCGCAAGACCTCCTCCGCCACGGTGGCGACGGCGGCCTGGCCTGCAGCTTTTGGAAGGAGCGATTTGAGGCCAGGTGGCTGACGGTCAAAAATAGGTACCCAAAATGGAACCCTGGCAAATGAAAACGTGGACTAAAACCTGCGGTCCCCTTGTTGCTTTAATCTTGACCCATACCCAGGTGAGTCAGGGAGGGTCGGGTCAGGGAGGGGAGGGGAGGGGTGTGGGGAACCCTTCTTGGGGTGGTTCGAAAAGAGACCGAAAGGAAAGCCACCATCTTTTTGGGGTTGCCATTTATTTTGTCGCATACCCAAGTGTACACCAGTGCATCTATCTTTATTCAAGCCACAAAATGACACATTAAGACCTGGCACTAGAATGGTCTACCCAGAACCATGTAAACAATCTAAAAGTAGGCTGCACCCAATTGTGGTTGGGACTATCCCTTACTCACCTTATCTATCCGGGTATTGATTGTGGCTCAGGTCATATCCACAGCTTGGAAACCTCCTGAACCCCACACAGAGCCCATCTGGGCAGCGCCCTCATAGCTTTGAACTGGGGATGGCGGCTTTTGGTGGTTAGGGATGGTTTCCCATTTACCCCCTGCAAGAACCAAGGACCCGTTCAAATCCCCAAGACAGCAATCCAAATCACCAAGTAAGGCTTACCTGATGATAGAGGCTAGGAACCTGATTGCAAAAATATGCAACCTTAAAGATACTCCTAAAGATACCCCCAACATGACTAGAACAACCGTGCGGGGTGAAAAAAGGAGCAACAAATGGGTCCGGTAAACCGTTTCCCTGCCAGCACAAACCTCTGCTCTTCAGACATGTCCTTTTCGGGGCTCAACGTTGTGAACCAATGAGGCTGGCTGGAATCATCGAGATACTGCCGAGTTGGTCAAGGGTCGCCTCTTGCCCCGCAACTAACATGAAAGGGGTATCTGTCGTTGGTTCACCCGTTTAACGTGGACATTCTCCCTCCAAAAAAGAAATTTTGAGAGGGCCCACCACTGGACAACTGTTGGCAGGGTGAACGCTTGCCATCAACTGCGCGTCAAACAACAGCTGCTCGCACTCAACATGAGGTCCCAACAAACTCCTTCAAAGCGAAAAGTTTGGGCGGGTTCAAAACAAGGTGGTCGAAATTCAAAAAGGCAGGAAACCTCACTGCCAGATGTGCCATGCGTGTTCTTCAGCAAGGGGTAGTGGGTCAGTCTCTCTCTCTCTCTCTCTCGCTCTCTCTCTCTCTCTCTTTCTCTCTCTTTCTCTCTCCATCTCTAGATATATATATATATACAACTTAATGCACGCTTTTTAGTATGTACCAGAAGCTTTCCCTAGTCTGGCTGGTGCGCGACACCCAGCAATTGCCTTGAATTGCCTCAATATTTCAGGTGCATCCAGTGTCGAAATTAGTTCCAGGTAACTTGTCCATTCTTTCCAGCGATCCTTTTCAGACAACCGCGAGAAAACCAGCCTGGAAGAAGCCAGTTTTCGAAAAGAAAACTAGGTAACGCAAATGGAATCAACCCTTAGATTTGTTCAGTGGATCCATTTACCTGTAGACCAAGAGCTTGCCACCACCAAAAGAAAAATAGCCACGGGTCCCCTACCAGGCCCAGGATCCGGAAGAAATCCATTTCGCACCACCTGAGAAACCCTGGAATGATTCGATTCCCCTGCAAAAATACCACCCAATACGTTCAACCGTGGCTTCCTTTCGCGGTGAAAAACGGATTTCGTCCACGGTATCTCTCCAAGAGATTGTTTTCCCTTAGTTGTTGACTGTTTTTTTCTTTTTGTTTCAGTGGTTGATTGTTTCTCTTAGTTGTTGATGGTTTTTTTAGTTGTTGATTATTTTTTAGTTGTTGATCGTTTCTTATAGTCGTTGATTGAACGCCATCTTTCTCCGGAGAACTCCAACCCATCCGTCCGTTTTTCTGCGGTTGCCTCGGCCCCGCTCGGCGCGGCGCAGCAGCATGGCCACGTTCCGGGCCACTGAGGCAGCGCACCTATGGCTCCAAGAAACGGCTAGCAGGGCTGTGGGGAATGGAATCCACTTCTGTGATACGGAAAGGGCTTCCCAAAATCTGTTGTGTTCATAAGGGATTCCCTTGTATCACAGAAGTGGGGAGAAACCCCGAGCGATCCCACAACCCTGGCTTGGAGAGGCGCGCACCTTTTTGCGCGGAGTTCACCTCTTCTTCCCCCTTGGTCTAGGGTACCTTCCATTTCCATTCCTTCCAGGGATCCTTCTTTTTAGGAAACCATCAAAAACTCAGCGGGAACTGCCGGTTTTTGAAAAGAACGATGGTTGAAAAGAATGGGGAATCAACCCCTAGACTTGTTGGTCCGTTTTGTTGGTAATCTCTACAGGGGTGGAAATCCACAAAAGCCGCATCCAAACCGTCTTCTGATCTGAACCCTCAAAAAGGGCCCATGGAGACAACCCCCAGTTGGTTTAAACGGAGATTTGAACCCATGGTTCTGAAGGGGGGTTGATTTTTTGGGAGGCCCTTTTTGGGGTTGGCTCAAAGGCCAAGAAAAACGGGCCCAGATGGGGGGGGGTCTCTTACTTCAAGACACACTCAATTGGCCTATGGAGAGCCCTAATCCCTCTAGTCTTTTGAGCAAATGTTGGGTCACAAAACCAGTCGCATCGAACCCTTGGCCTTCGGGTGACCTGCTTTTTTCCGGCCAAACTGCATCCCTAGATTGCAAGACTCCGCCCTGAGAATCACAAGAAACGCCGAAAGCCAAAAAAAAATCAAGACAAACCGCTGAAAGACCCGAACCAAAAACACGCCACTTCCCACCACAAAAGCCACCAACCTCCCCTTGCTGGCGTGGGGGGGAACGGCACTTTCTGGAGGGCGTCGCAAGCCTTTGCTTCCGCGGCGCAAGACGCGCTCCCCGGCCGAAGCCCCGCGGTAGTTCCTCACCGGGGCCACCGCCACCAGTCGCAGATTGGGGCACAAAGCCGGCAGCACCGCCGCGAAGAAGTTGTGCAACCACCTTGCGTGTCGGAGCGACAAAGGGCGAAGAGGGCTGGCATGTTTGGCATGTGTGTGGAAGCTTATTTGTTGTTGCTCAACTGTTTGGTTGCCTGATTGTTTGATTCTTTGGCTGTTTGGATGATCTCATGTTTGATTGGTTTCCCTTGTCAGTTGGTTGAGGGACCCTTCTAAGGAAGCTTCCTACACTTTGAGGGCATCCTTGTACTTTCAACCACGAAGGGGTCAAACTGCAAACCCAGAACGCGCGACCGGCTTGCGAGGCGAAACCATCCCCGATTTCCCGGGAATGGTCCCTTCCCAAGTGGCGTGATCAGCCCAAGCCTAAGAGGCCTCGAAGGTAGACTCTAAGCTCCCAACATCAAACCTCACCTGTACCCAGAACCATGTGAGGAATTATGAAGACGGCCGCAACTATTTATGGTTGGGATTGTCCCTTGCTAACCTCATCTCCCCACCCCACCCTACACCCCCACCCCACAACACCCCCCGCCCACACCCCAGCCCACCCCACCCCACTCCCCAGCCCACCCCACCCCACCCCCCGCCCACCCCACCCCACCCCACCCCAACCCAACCCACCTCACCACACCCAACACCGCAAAACCGAGGCGCGCCAGCAGCGGACCGGCAGCTCGCTCCTCCGCCCTCAGCTCCTGGACCTCCTCCGGCGCCACCTCCGCCAGCGCCGGCGCCAGGTCCTGGAGACAGCCGGGAAGAAACACCCGGAAAGTCAGCTTCCCGGCAGTTTGGAGCCGAATCGGTGGTTTGGCGGTTTGGCGGTTTGGCGGTTTGGCGGTTTGGCGGTTTGGCGGTTTGGCGGTTTGGTGGTTTGGTGGTTTGGTGGTTTGGTGGTTTGGTGGTTTGGTGGTTTGGTGGTTTGGTGGAGGAGAGTCCCATTTACCCTCTACAAGAACGGGTTCAGTTTAGAAAACGGCAAAAAGCCTTCCATCTGTTTGGTGGTTTGGAGCCCGGTGGCTTGGCGGTTGAGGAGGGGGGAAGTTTGGACAGGAGCCCCTACGAAAAGCCTTGCAAACATCGGGTTTTGGGTCGTACGTTTTCAGATCCCTGGCTGAAAGTTGATAAAAACGCGTGGGTGAAATGGAAAAACACCCACTAAACCAACTGAACAAAAACCTGGAAGATGGCTCGGAACCACCAAGGTTCTGAGCCCAAGCAAGACAAGACAAGAAGAATAGAACACGGCTTTCGGCATTGCAACATAGTGATGGAAAGCGGGTTTGGGGCGCCCAACTTGGAGTCAATGGGAAGGCTGCCGGACTTTTGGCGCTTTCTCCCCAGAGAATGATGAGTCAGTTGAAGCACTTTGAACGCCTGATTTCAGGGGTCGAGCGCCCTTTGATTCGGGGTTACAACTTTCTTTTTACCCGACACATGGGGTTCGCCAGATCAAGCCTGGTTGGTCTGGTGATGCGTGGGTGTTGCACCTCCAGCTTCAGTCAACATATGCGGTTATCCAAATGGACATGTAGACAAGCAGCGTACGCCTACCCTTTTCGGGTTGTTTGAAGGGTGATTCAAGGGAAGCCACGCAGCTTGGGGGTTGCCTCATCCAGTCTAGAGACGAAACTGCATGGGGTTTCCATTTCTGTTGTCCAAGAATGCACACACCCATATTCCAAAAAGCATGTGAAAATCAGTGACAACGACCCCTTGTGGGGAGCCAAACTCGCCCTAGACACATTCCCAAATTCCCGCGTTGCCATTCGAGATGATTGTCAAGCATCCTTATTGGAAACCAAACACGGTAAACTGTTTCTTGTCGCAGAAATCCTGATTTCCACGAATGTTAAAAGGCAGGCCACGCCAAAGCAATGTGACAATGATCGATTCCTGAGTTCCAGGCCCGTCACATGGAACGCTTGAGAAAACTGCCTGCATTTCTAGAGACGGCGACTCCTCATGCTGCCAATGAAGCAATGGCAGATCGGGAATCGTGACGGCTGCACCACCTTGGTTGGCAAGGCATGGTGACCCACTGAGAATCCGTCCTGTGAGCATGGGCTAAGGAGAGGCCAAAAGATTGCTTGAGAGCTTCCAAAGAGGCAAAGCATGTCTAGAGCTGTGCGTGTGTGTGTGTGCGTGCGAGTATGTGGTTTGTGTGTGTGTGTGTGAGCGTGCAACTGCCACAGCACCATGCGCACACCAAAAAGCACCCCGACCAGCACCCACAACAGCACCCTGAACAGCACCCTGAACAGCACCCTGACCAGCACCCTGATTGCATCGCCAAACAAGCACCGCCAGCAACCACGACACCACCTTGGGCACACTAAAACAGCACCCTGACCAGCACACAAAACAGCACATGACTGCATTGCCAAACCAGCAGCGCCAGGAACCGCTGAACTGCCTGCGCCTCTTCAGAATAAGAACTGAGAACCCCCATAGCTTTCAGCTATCTAGGGAAACATATGTTATGACTCTGTTCCGAATGTAGTCTACTCTTAAAAAGATCTGTGTGTGTGTGTGTGTGTGCGTATTTTTGAAGGGGACCCCCGGCAATCGTGGTTTTCATTTTGGTGTCCCGCAAAAAATAAAAGGTAAAAGGGGAGCATCAACCCCACCACATGTTTTCGGGTGGAGACTTTGTCATTTTGGCAAAATAGGTGGCACTGAAATTTGACTAGAACTTCTGGGAGACCAGTGGAATCCATCTACTTTCCAACAAACTAACCTAAAACGGGCGCCCACTTGGCTGTTCGGCCAGAGTAAGTGGCTAGCCATCTGGGTTACAACCCACTGGCTTAGCCCAAGATTCACCAGGGAATTCTTTAAGTGGGCTTACTGGGCCAAACACCTATGCCTGCGGTTCCTTCGGATTTGCCCCGCTAAATCCGGAAATTTCTTTCAGTGGGTCCCCTACCGACAACTTGCTGGGCCAAACACCCACGCATGCCTTGGGTTCCGATTCGGACTTGTTCGGAACTGGGGGGATTTACTTTTCCTGGGTCCCCTCCCGAACAACTTACTGGCCGAAGACGACCGCATTCAGCCCCACTGGGGATTTCGTTCAGTGGGGAAAAAGCCCCGACCACTCGCCGGCCGAAGAAACATCCTTACATTATACACCTGAACATTGCAACTTGTAAATGGTGGTTTCCCTTTATTCTGGTGTTCAAATTGGCAAAATGTATCTTTGACAAGCCACCCGCGCATTCGGAGTTTTGGGTTCGGATTTCCCGGGCGCACTCCGCGAAGCTCTGCGCCACGGCGTGGGCCTCCCGCCAGCTCTCCCCCGCGCGGCGTTCGAAGCCAGTGGCGTCCATCGGCACCTGCGGGACCCGAGGGGCCAAGGTTCCCACGGGCGGATGTTTTTTTGGGGAGGTGGAGCCCTTGGAACGGCTGGGTGTCTCCCTTCACTTCCCCTTTTGCCCCAATACAAAAAAGCTACCGGCAAGTACATCATTACAAACCCGAAGGTCAGTAAACCCCTCTGTTTTGGAGAGGTTGGGTTGGCCGAACTTGATATGACTTCATATGTCCAGCTCTTGGATGTTTCTGATTGGCGGATTCTGTGGGCTCCTTTTCTGCTGCCTGCCGGGGAACGCACCCGACGCACCAAAAATCGACCACCACTGCCGTTCCCGAGAGTAGACCGCGCCTCCGAGAGGCGGGCACAGTAGAAGAGGAGCTCCACTCCAGGAGCAGCCCCATCCAGAAACTTCAGCTTCCTGCGAGCCGGAAGTGGAAACGGAAACCGCCGCCTGGTGCGTGCCGTGCTCCTGGTGCTTGTTAAAATTCGTGTGGGGTTGAGACACGGCCAAATGGAGGTCTCTCCGCCAGTCGCTTCGGGTTTGCGCAAACACGATGCTGCGCTGGAAGGCCGTCAAACTGACCTGACGGAAGGCATGGAGAGCGGCCATTTTGCGGTTCAAGGGATCTGGCGTCACTCCATAGGTGGGCGAGTACGACATGTGTGTCTTAAAGTAGCTGACACCAAAAATGTTTAATTTCCTTTTGGTTCCTTGTCAAATCCAACTCCAAAAGGGGTACCCTCAAAAAAAGACACGCATGTTGCTGGTCAATACTTCATCAGTGTGGAAACAAGCAAGTCCAGGCTCTGCCCCTTTGCTGGTCAATGGATGTCAATGGTACAAAAGTTCCACATGTCGGCAAGCGTGGTGGGTGTGTCAACATGCTGCGGTCTTTCGTGAAACTCCAAATCACTTTGGTTTCCTGTGGTCTCCCTTGGAAACGAACAGGGCAAGAAAAAGACACGCCCTGCTTGGCTTCCTGTTGCTATCCCTCAAAGGCGCCTCAGCGTTTGCCTCAGCGCTGCCGCCGACAGGGCTCCGCCTGGAGGCGCGGTTTCTGCAAAGGCGGTCTCAAAATGGGGAAACCCCTATGTGGCTGCGGGTCAAAAAGAGGTACCCAAAATGGAACCCATTACGGGTGTGGGTCAAAAACAGGTACCCATTAAATGCAACTCTGGTAAGTGGAAACGCAGACTAAAACCTGCGGTCCGATTCCTGGTGGATTAATTTTGACCCAAACCCATGTGTGGAGGGAGAAGGGGAACAACAACCTGCGGGTCCAATCTGGTCGCGGATTTCCTTCGATTGAACCAGTAAGGCCGGGTCTTTAATGTTGGCTACCTCCGCGTGAGGGCAAGGTTGCAAACCTTGCCCCAAGCCCCCGCATCTAATAGTGCTCCCGAGCCACCTCTAAGGCAACCCCAAAACAAAACTCCTTCAAGGGCTGTCCCTCGTTTCACCCACAGCTCCCGAGAATTTTGGCGACCATTCTGGTCGAGGCCTGGGAAGAGCGTGGCGCAGTTGATGAAGAAAACGGTGCGGTTGGTCTCCTTCAGCAAACGCAGCGAGCCCAGCATCACCTCGGAATCGGGCGTGTTTCGGAATGAAACCTCGCAAAGGAATCTTCCTAAAAACACTCCTCTGCAAATGATGGGTGTGCGCGTGCGCGCATGATTATTGTCTGTGGGGGGGAGGGGGGAAGTGAAGCCATGCCAATTTGCAGGGGAGCAGCGAGCAGCCTGCAAATTGGAAACCTCCCAAACATGTTCAGCTTAGTTGTCTCGTTGTGTTCCCCACGTCCACCAAGAGCAAAGACGATTTCTCAAAGTGGCAACACTGATTTTCAACCCCCCCCCCCGCCCCACTCCCTCAATCAGTGTTCCCTTGGGGTCATTCCATTTCTCAGGAACCCTGCCTATCGCACCCGCCACCATAAGCGGAATCCATTAAAGGAAACCATGGGGGGATGGTTTATCAGGGTCATTCCAACTCATTCCCTGCTTATCGCAGCAGAAACTCACTAGGTCCTCCAGTACAGAGGTTAGAATAAGGGTGGGTACCCGATTTTTTCCTGTAGTCTATTGTAGCAGGGGAACCCTCCCAACCATAAAAGAAACGGTGAGAAAGGTCATCAATTGCTGGGGGACCTAGCTCAAGTGACTGGAGACCAAGCCATTTGTCGCGACCTCGCCTCGTGCATCTGCGCCCAAAAGGCCTCCTGCGCGCTTTCCGCGGGCGCCTCCGGGGTGCAAATTCAACCAGCTGGCTGGAAGAACCAGCTGTGAGCATATGGCTCTGGTAGATGATTCAGCCACCAGGTTTATTTCAGGGCCATCTATTTTTCTTCCAACACAACCAGAAAGGACTCCTATGGCTGTGAGTCTCACTTTTGAATTGGAGACTCTGCTACATGGGTGCATCTCTTTTCAGGGGACGGGTAAGCAAATGGTGGTTTCCCTTTTGGTGTCCTTTTATTTCGTGAAAAAACACAAGAAGGAAGGGGGTACCCCAGAAAAAAAGGGAATTAATTCATGTCCGCCAACCATCTTGGAAGTTCCCCATTTAAACTAAACGCCATGTTGAAACCACTGCTCAAACAACGGGTTGAACCACGTCGGACACCGCTGTTAACTGTGGATGGGCGAAATCGCGAAATCCTGGCATAAACCATATACCAACTGCAGGATTTTGCCGCAGCATTGCTCCGACAATGGCGGAAGAACTGGGAAAACAAAACAAGTTCAAGCCACTATCTCAACATATTCCAGTTCAAAATACAGCATTGCTCAAGCAAGCTGCCTTTGGTTTGAACATGTTGAAACGAGCTACTGTCAAACCGAGTCATTGTTGAAACCACTGTTGTTGAAACCGCTCGTGTTGAGAAAAATATCACACTATCTTAACATGATACCACAGCTGTTCAAGAAACCACGATTGCTGAAACATGTTTCCTTTGGTTTGAACATGTCAAAACGATCAATTGCTCAAACCAGTACGGTTCAATGCACTCTTGTTGACACCACCATTGTTCAAATATACGGGTGGATTCTTTTGAACACATCATTTAGTATCAGGGGGGCCTACCTGTTGTTGAGCCATTCTTCTGTCAGCCCCCCTTTAGGATTAAAAAATGTGAAAGATCCCCTCTGAATCAAAAGAGGGACACCCAGACTGTTAGGCCACCTGTTCAACCACCTCCTTGAAATATCTTGTATCTCACTATATATATATATATATACACACATATGCATATATATATATGTTTCTATACATATCATATTCTGTACATACAAACTCGAGTATGAGCCATAAACTACTTGGGTCAAACCAGTGTCGCCTTCGGTTGCTTCCGCGCAGGGGGTTCCGGCAATCCCCCGCCTCTTCCTGGAACTGCAGCAGGCGGTCCAGGTGATCCCCCCCCAGCTCTGTGAAGTGCAGGGCCACAAAGCGCACCTGGCAACTCTCGACTCGACCGACCGATCCTCGCGCTCACGCGCGCGTGCGGGACCTGACCGGGGGACGGATGCTCGCGGCGAGGTGGGGACTGGTTCGATGTCGTAACGGCCCTAGATCACAGTAGCTGTCAGGAAGTACAACCCCAGAGGGGGTTCTTCACAATGGTCCCCGAGAATGGGTTGGGCTTCAAATACCAAATCAAAAGGAGTGGGTTACTCCCATGTGGCCATTGCCCCCACGGGTTTGATTTCTTGCTCGGGAACCACACAATTTGCAACAAAAAGTCGCGGGTTGAAGATCCACACATGCAACCAAACCCCGACACTCAACCCAGAAAACTCCCCGTGGCAATAGGCGAGTTAAATAATCCATTCACAACAGAGGGGGTCCAAACCGAAAACGTTGAAAACCTCCGGCATTCCAGGCCCGTGACTCCTTTCAAGGGCCTGCCTGTAGTGCACCAACGGGCAAAAATGGAAGCCCCCCAAATGTCGTGTGAGTCTCCTCGTTGCTCGTGTTTTCCCTTTGGGTTGCGAAAGAATCCGCACGGTTGCAGTTGCGAAAGAACTGCCCTTGGAGTATCATCTTGGGAACCTGGGCTGTTCCCGGATCCCCTGCGAAAAGTCAAAATGCAATTTGGTTTTTAGTGGAAACTACCACTAAACCCCAGGGGCTGGCTATCAACCACCACGTTTCGCGCTAAAATTTCTTGGGGAACAGCTCTCTCCCTCTCTCACCTCCACTATCACCCTAAAACCCTAAACATCTAAGGGGCTGGCTGGGAACCACGTTTCGCGCAATGTTGTGTTGTGAAACGGAAACGAAAACTCGCGATCTCTCGCGCCGATCCATCGGCCTCCGGCCTCCGGCCCGAAACTGAGGAAGCTGGGCAGCTCCTCCCCGGTCCAAAGGCCGAACTCCTGGCAGAAGAAGCCGAAGCTCTCGAGGCTCAGCATCACCTCCCGGGCGACCGCGACCCGGCGACCCGCAAAACTCCTCAGAGCCCGGCTCAGAGGGCTCCAAAACACTTCCCTTTGCTTTTTCGGTTTCTGGAAGAGTGAAATCGATTCCCTTTAAGACCAACAGGGGAAAAAATCACATCTTCATTTCAGCAAATGGAAGAAAATATGTCCCCTGAAAGATCACCCCGCTGAAGTGCCCCCCGAGTTGCTCTCAGTCCCCCTCGTTTCACAAATCGAATGAGGGCCACGCAGACTAAGCTGCCATGCATGCGCGCCTCAACGCGACAGACTTATCTGCCAAGAGGGTGGTTGCCTCCGCACCTCTTCCAGTTTTGTTCGTGCGGAAGGAAGCAGGGCAAAAATCGCCCTTAAAGGAAACACACTTTGGAACTGCCCAAAAAATGATACGTTGAAATCACCCCCCCCCAAAAAAAAACGTATAAGTTTCATATAAGAACCCCCCGGCTCAGGCAAACAAAAAAACACTCGCGTTCCGAGGAGCGAGGCCCCGCGCGATGTCCGTGTCCATGTAGGGCAGCTCGTCCCTCACGGCACTCAAGGGCGCGTTGGGGTCCAGGAGCCTGTCCGGCACCATGCCTCGGCTTCGATTAGTCGACCCGTGAATGGTCATTTACCTGGGCTGCCCGTTTTCAGATCCCTGCTAAAAGTGACTCACTTTTAGTGGGTTTGGTCATTTACAAGAGGAGCTCCCAACATCAAACCTCTGAGTCATAGTCAAACGCCGGTAGTAAAACGGTCGTAATCCCAGAACCATGTGAAGAGCGAGGGGGATATTCGCAGCCATGTATGGTTGGGATTGTCCCTGACTAAGCTGGGCTGCCCGTTTTTGGATCCCCCGCTAAAAGTGACTAACTTTTAGTGGGTTAAATGGACACTACCACTAAACACTAAAAGGCCAAAAGGCAAAATAATGGAAACCCAGGATCGATCAACCCCTGGCTGATTTGTTTTGGGGTGTCCGGTTTTTGTGGGAGGAACCACAAGGTTGATTCCAGGGTCAACGGTGTATAGAAGCCATCGCAAAAGATAAGAAGGTTGTCAAATGCTGTGGGCGCCTTACTTAACATGGCAGCTGACAGGTAAGGAAACTGGACCAGGTACTTACCCTCAGCTTGCACGTTGGTGAGGGCAACCCTCCTCCAATCATCAAAGCGGACAAAGGGGTTTTGGGCAACGGGAACCTTTCCACTTTTGCAGTTGGAAAGAGGGTCAGTCTATGCCCCCGAAGCTCTTTGAATTTAAGATGTCCGCTCAAAACCTAGGGTGCCGAGCCTCAAACGAAGACACGGGGCATCTACCGGTTGTGCGCTAACTCATGCTTCTTATTTGAAGGGTAAGTATCAAGCGACCGGGAAAAAGCACGGGAGCGCCGAACTTTGAGTGAAACCCGAGTTTTCGCCACGTGTTGCATAGAAACATGCAAGGCTCGTTTCGAAGGTTGATTGGGGACCATAAAAAGGGGAGGCTTGAATTGAAAGGGGCTTGGACACTGGACCGGCAAACTCAGCGCAGTCTTCCAACCTAGTGGACGCCAGAGGTCAGCTGCAAAAAACAGATTTGCACGGCCTCCCACAGAGAAAACTGGACACTTTGACATGGGCTACTGTGTTTTGTGTTGGGAACTGGAGAACTTATGTCTGGAGGCTTCCTGAACTCTGCTTTGAGGAGAATTCTGCCCTGGGCCCTCTGAGTCGCATTCCGTCCAAGGGACCCTTGCGCCCAACCAAACCGAACCAGCCAACCAGCCCTTTGCGACGAAAGGCGCGGGTGTTGACGAAGGAGCTGGCCAAAATCGGCAGCAAAGAGCAAAGCTGCATGAAGCCCAAATCACCACTGCGGCAAAAGCCTCTGGCTGCAGCTGCGAAGTGGGAAGTCTGTTTTATAATCAGAACCTGGTATTCAAATGGTCGTAATCCCAGAGCCATGTAAAGAGTTTAAAAGGCGGAATTCTGCACCCATTTATGGCTGGGATTCTCCCTTGCTAACCTTCACCTGTGACCGTTTCCTTTTATGAGTGGGTTGCCCATTTTGAACAAATACCCATGTACACGAGGAAATGCGAAAGGTGGATCATCCAGGAGCTGAATCGGAAGTCGGGATCGGTTCATCTCCTATCTCACAACTCCGTTTGGAAAGCTGCAGGAAACCGGCCAGCTACGCTTGACGACCGAAAGTCGCAAGGCCGACTCGTACTACAAGCCACGCTACGGCACAGGGATTCCACGCTCCCTATGTTCAATCTTTGGGGAAAGCCATAGGGTGAGCAGGCGACCGGGATGCGAGCAACGCAAAGGCCTCTCTCCGATCTTGCGTCAGCTCAAAATGGGCAAAGCAACACCGAAATCCGATTCCCGCGGGCACAGACCACACCTCCGAAAAAGATCCATGCTCAATTTGATATTTGCCAGTCCATGCCTGGGACCGGCTCTCCCCTCTTCCTGGCCCCCAAAAGCCGATGCCCCACCCCCCACCCCACCCACCCACCCCCTTTTCCCGGGTTCTTGGGGTCTCATGTCGGGTCCAAAGGGCTGTGGAGCATCGTGGACTTCCCGGCGTTCTGATCCCCCAGCAGCAGGAAGCTGCAGAGCCCGCACTCCGCACCCAGCTCGGGGAAAGCGATCACCGTCTCCAGGTCCACCTCACGAGTGACGAGTGCGGCCAGTTGGAGCCAAAACTCGAACGGCACAGACCTGGGAATATGGGTGTGTGCGTGTGTATTTATTTATTTATTTATCGATCTATCTATTTATTTCTATCTATCTATTTATCTATCTATCTATCTATAGTTCTATCTATCTATGTATTTATTCATTTATTTATTTATTTATTCATTTGTTTATTTATGTATTTATTTATGTATTTATTTATTTATTGATTCATGTATTTATTTAATTTATTTATATATATATAGATCATGGTCCCAAAATGTAGTCCATGGGGGTGTGACCATAGTATATATATATATATATATATATATATTCTGTACACAGATATATATATATATATATATTATGTTATCTATATAAAATACCATGTTTGGGGTTTGGCTTGAGCAAACCATCCATTTGAGGGTTCCCCGATTTTGAGATGAATCCATACGGGGCTAAACCCAAGTTGCATTAGAGGGCTCCTGCAAATTGTGAGGGTATCTCTTCCAGTTCGTTGAACAAACGCCCCCCGGTTTGCTGAGTCTTGATCCCCTTTCCGTCCAGTTGATTCCTCAAAAAATGCACGCTCGGCGAAGAACCCTGGCCAGGGATTGCAGCATTTGGGGAGTCCAGGTGAATCCACCTCCTCCAAAAAACTAGTTGACAAAATACTTATTTAATAGGGCATTCATTTCAAAAAATAGGCTCTCTTGTTTCCTGCTTTTTTGTTTGATCCACCGGCCTCCGGCACCTCTTCGTCATACAAGTCCGGGTGTCGGAAGCTGCAGCGCTGCTCCAGCCCAAAGCGGGTCTCCAGAATCTCCGGCGTGCCATCCATTTTGCCGCAGTCTCAGCCCGACGCATTTCTTGGGTGCCAGGGCTGGTTGAGCTAGAGCTGATCAGGGTGCTGGCTGGTAGGTGGAGCTGATCGGTGCCGTTTGGAGCTGGTGGATGCTGGTCAGTGCTGGTCAGTGCTGGTCAGTGCTGGTCAGTGCTGGTCAGTGCTGGTCAGTGCTGGTCAGTGCTGGTCAGTGCTGGTCAGTGCTGGTCAGTGGTCAGTGCTGGTCAGTGGTCAGTGCTGGTCAGTGCTGGTCTGTGGTCAGTGCTGGTCAGTGCTTGGTGCTAGATCTTTAGTTTCATGCTTGCAAATCTGGATGTGGGAATCTTGCCAACGCTGGGTTGTGTGTGGTCGGCCACCTTAGGCATATAAACTAGTACGGGCCAGGGTTGAGTGTTGCTTTTTTGCCTGCCCATTCTCTGAGACATCGAGCCTCTCTTGAACCGTCGGCGTCCGAGCTGACGGAACTGACGCGAGGTGTCTGCAAGGTCTCAGGGTCCTGGCAAGCAAAGGGACTTCAACCGGTGAATGATTTACATGCGATCGGAGTCGACCAGTCCAGGAAACCTCATGGCTCCCTCATCTAAGTCCTCCAGATTTGAGAGGTTAGAATAAGTTGGTACCAACTTTTTTCTGTAGACTATTTTAGTAGGGGGACCCTCCCCCAAAAAAGGGTAAGAGGGCACTACTGGGGGACCTAGTCATGGCTCCCTTACAAACTTTGCAACCACTCTCCCGGAGAGCAGGCCAATCATCGTGGCAGCACTGCTGCCCGTAGCACCCACCTGCTGCTCACCTCTGGACCGATAACCCGTATCCGAGTTCCTCTTAGAGCTTCTGCTTCTCTTTCTGTTTGCGGGCTTGTGGTGACTGGTGAAGTTCCATGTTGATCTCCTGCTATCAAGTGGAAGCCCAGGCATGGTATTTTCGTTTTGTGGGGGCTCCCAAAGAAAAGAACAGTAGTTTCGCCAACCCACAACTTCGGTTTGGGGGACCATCCCCAATCAACCTCTACCCTCTTTTAATTGTTTATAATATAACAATATATATATAGATATATGTTTATGTGTATTTATTTATTCTAAAAAGACAAAACGGCAGCGGCCTCCAGGTCAATGAAGCGCTTCCAGACCAGCTCCGGCATGTCCAGGCGCTCCTATTGCCAGCTCCGGCATGCCCCAGCTTCCGCCGCACACATCGGGCTGCTCTTTGGGTGGGAAAAAATGAAAACCCTTCAAAAAACTGGTCGGTCAAATTTCAGCTCCCCTGCTAAAAGTTTAATTTTCTGTGGGGTGAATTGATGGCTGGGAACCACCAAGAAAATGGTGTGCTCCCTCGTTGTCCAAAAACCAGCCTTTGCTCGGGGTAATCTAAAACGGGCCCGAAGGTGTGTGGGCACTGGGATTCTCAGTTCAGCGTGAAAGGCCATACCAATCAACCATGGCAGGTTTCTTCTGGCTGGCTTGATGGAACCAACTGTGAGGAAATACGGTCCAATTCAAGACTTTGGTGTGCTCTTCTTCGTGGGTGCAATGGAAAGTTTCAAGCCATTGGCATCACCGGGCTGCTGCTTCATGCTTCGATCAAAGTGGGTTTACGCTCACGGATTTAGGCTGGGGTAAGGTTGTTTCAGGGGTTTAGGGTCGGTTGGGGTAGGGTGGGTCTAAGGTGAGTTGTGTGTTGAAGGTTGGCTTAGGTGGGTTCAGTCTGGGTTTAATATTGGTTTATGGATTGCTTGGGTTCGCTTTGGGTTGGTTTAGGGTGGATTTAGGGGTTTAGGGTGGGTGTTGGGGTGAGGGTAGGTTTGTTGGTTTAGGGTGGGTTTAGGGTTGCCTCAGAGTGGCAAAAATGATAGCCCTCCCTCCCACTTACATGGAGGCTGTCACAAGGTCTGAGGAAAATGGCCCTCCAGCGACCTCCAATCAGGATTGAACCAATGAATCTACAACAAGTTTGGGGTGCTTTCAGCAGGAAACCTCCCTTCAGGTGAATTTCCTTTCAAAAGCCCAAAAACCAAAAGGGGTCTTTCGTTTTGACACGTCGCTCTGTGGGCATGCTGACACACCTGGCTGCCACTGGCTGCCACTGGGGTGAAGCAGAAGGTCTTAAACTGGGACCCTAAATTGAAAATGCCGTGCTGTAAAGTTAAAGAAAGTGTGATGGACAAGTATACACAGGGGCTGGGTTTGGAAACCTGTACATTGCATCAAGCCCAGACATGATGCCGTACTTGGGAATTGATGCACAAAAGAGCGAGTCGATCCTTTGCGGAATTGTGAATTGCGCGCAAGATGCTGTGGTGAGTTTTGGACGGTTCATTCCGACAATTTCAGACTCCTTCGTCCAACGGCAGGTTGCTACTTGAGGAAGTAAAAAGGTGATGCTTGCAGCGTCAAGCAGCAACAGGAGGCTGCAAAAAGCTGCAAAATGTCAAATGGGCAAACCACAAGAAACAACACAAAAGTGCAACCAGGAATAAGTCTTCTGTGTGTGTGTGTGCTGGCTGCAGCCCTTCTGCGAGGAATCAACACCTCCCAATGGTTTCATTGCTGGTTCGCTAATGAACTTATCTCAATAGCAGCCCCTGAGCTTTGCATACCATCAACAGTCGAAAGTGTTTCTTTTGAGAAGGTATGGCACTTTTGAGGGAGCCACCCCCAGCTCGTGTTGTCGAACTCGGCCCTCCACCCATCGCGTCCTGGTTTACGGCAAGGTTGCAGAGGGCCTCGATACAATTCTCCGGCACAGAATCTCTTGCGATTTGGATACAATTCCCTTTACCTGCTTGTCCTCGAGCTTAACAGTTCCGCTTCATCGTTGCGTGTCCTTTTTTTCCAGAATACCGCTTTTTTTTGCGGGTTTTCAAGGGAAGCCAAAGGAAAAGCCACCATTTGGGGGTCCCCTGAATAGAAAACACGCCCATCTTCACTGACACGGCCGGAGCCGCATACCTTTCCCTCTGGTCGACTCGGATTTCCATCGATTGTCCGGGATCTCCGGCGCGGGCGCGCTCGATCTCGCCCACCGAGTCCTGCCGCACGGAAGACCCTGCTTGAGAGTATCCTCCATTTGCTTTTCTCGCCCCCTGAAAAAGAAAGAAAAATATGTCCAAAGTGACAGGGACAATTAGAACGTAGTCATTTCAGCAAATGGAAGGTATGTTTCATCAAACAAGAGGTGCCCGGCCTCTTTCATTTACAATCAACCCCTCTGGCATCAAGCTCGTGCCCCTGGTCTCCCACGTCCATGTTTGGCCACGTCCGTATGCCGGTGCGGCTTGTTTTTTCTGCGAAGTGAACTGGCGCCACAAAAAGAAACCAGGTCCCAAAGACGGACGCATTCATGAAACTTCACCTCTCCTCAAGGTCCACGTACACCGTCCAGGCCTTTGGGTTGTGCGGGTGCACCTCAGGCAGCAAAGACAAACATGGAGTACGCCAATCACCGGATGGGTTTGGTTTTTCTTCCTAAGCGGGGGGGTTCTGTTTTTTCCTTGGGGGGGATGATTTTTCTGCCTGCTGATCTGTGCCTTCTGAGTTCCTTTCTGGGGGGGGGGGGGGGGAGCATCTGTTCTGACCTGATATGTGCTACCATCCAAATAGACCTGCCCTTTTGATGGGAAGCACGGACATAAACACCAAAACCAGCGAGTTTTGGGGCGCGCTGCGCAAAAGCCTCATGGTCAGCAAGAGTGACACGGCCAACGGAAAATTCCTATTGTGCTTGAGGGACCCCAAAAGGACCCCACTTTCATTGTTCCACCAATGCAGCTCTAGACTCTAGAGGCTTCTCCCATTCCAACACCCAACAAAGGCAGGTTCGGCGTTGCGCTCGTGTAGGGTTCTCAGGTGCGCACACCTGCATGCATGCTAGTGTGCGGTCACACTGCTTACACATCTGTGTGTCTGTGGGAAGTGACAAATATGATTGGAGAACTTTGGCCTCGTGACCGGAGCAACTTCAGAGCCACAACCTCTCGGAGTGGTTTGCTTTGCTGTGAATCGAGCTCTCTCGACCTTGGCATGGGTGTCATGGTCAAAACTCGAACCGAGGGACATGGCCTGGCTTCCTGCATAAGGGCGATTGGATGATGGACAACCGCTGAGCTCTACCCAAGGAAGGAAGCCAGGTGGGCGTGTCAAAACTTGTTGAAAACAGAAACCCTCTAAACACTGATGCAAGTTGCACGTGACAGCCAGGATCCCCAGCTTTCACGCACACACACAGGTTTGTCACCCCCCCTCTAGCGCCTCCAGGAACTTGCCGTAGATGGTGCCTGGGCTGTGCCAGAAGACTTTCAGGCGCTTGAAGGGTTCAAAATAGAGCGACACCCAAAAGTGAAGGGTTTCACTTTGGCTTCACTTGTAAACAGTCAATGAGTAGTTCTTTTGGCTTCCCTTTTAAACGAGCGAAAGGGAACCCTTATGAAACGCACACCCTGAGTACTTGAGCCCCCGAACCACAACCTGCCCATAGAGACCTGGCAAAATCGACTTCGAGATCAAGAAATGGCCGTGTTCTTGTTTTCTAGAACCCCTATCGCGGAGTTGTTCAAGCAAAACAACTCCGTTCCCCAACAGACATTCTGCTCAACAACCATGCCTCCATCAGATCTGATCACGGCGCGGGAGACCATGAGCCTCCAGTGATTCCTCGCGCATTGCCGAGGCATCGTCCGGAAGGCAGTGCCGCCCTGCGCTCTCGCCGCACAAACTCGCCGAGTACCCCTTTTGGGTCGCTGGCCATCCAAGTCCCAAGCGGCCTGCCTCTTCGACCAGTCCCCTTGGCCCCCTTGGTCACGCTCCTCGTCGAAAGCGACGCCAAGGACCAGCGAATGACGCTACTTGCGGAATGTGAGAATGAACCCAGGAGTCCCCTTAAAGGAAACAACCGGATAGTTGGATAGATGGGGCATTCCCTCATTCCCTACTGAGCACCAGCAAGACTACTGCAATCCCTTCCGATGCGTGGATGATTCGTCTTTGAGGGCACCCTGTTGCGGGACACGTGCGACATGTGACAATTGCGGTCCAGGCTTGGACGCAAGGCTGACGGGCCAATGCTACGGGCCAATGCTCCGGGCCAATGCTACGGCGTAGAGCCCGCTTGGTTTGAAAAGCTTCCCTACCCACAACCGTCTGCAGTGGCCTCCACACTTAGTGTCAGGCCTGCTGGCTTGTGGTCCTTTTGGTAAAATAGATGGCCCTGGTAAACGGAAAAACACAATCCATTTATTTCTAGCCAAACTAACCTAGAAAGGACACCTAGGTTTTCCCTCTGACTGTGCGACACAGCGCAATCAGTCCAGCCACGAACACCGTGGCCAGGCAATAATGAATCTTGCCACGAATGCTGTGGCCTGCAACTATACTTCCTACAACGACCTGCTGGGCCTCAGGTTTATATGGGTCAGCAGTTGAGACAAGTGCTTGGGACAACCCAATGTTCCCATGCCCTACGGAAGCAAGCCACTTTTTCTCCGGGGCATGAGTCTGAGTCTGTTTTTGTTTGGAAACATCCTTTTAGCCTTGATTCAAAGGAAAGCCAAAAAGCATGGGGCCTTCGGGGGAGCGTAAGCCCTTATTTGGGCTCCCTGCCCCCTCCCCTCTCTTCTCCCAACCACTCCCCATGGGTGTTTTCTCTGGACACGTACCCGAAGCGCCGAGGAAAACTTCTGGTTTTGGCCCCCCGGCGGCATCGGTCGATGTTCCCCAGCCGCATCTCCAGGTCCGCATAGTCCAAGAAGATCCGCTCCTGGCGGAGGGCGGATGAGCGCGATGGGGTCTGGGGCGTGTGCACCTGGATGTTATGATGGACATATTGGTGTATATAATGGATCAGAATGGGGGTTGCTTTGTAGGGAAACCTGCATGGCTGTCCTGTTTTGAGGAAGCCCTTTTTTTTCTGGCTGGCTGAAAGGAACATGCAAACGGAAACCACCCATTTTGAGGGCGGACAAGCGCGGCCAGGGAGCACATTCTGCGGGTCATAAAGCGGGATACAATGTTTGAGGATCGGCCAGGCCACACGTTGCTGCCAAACTTTCTTTTGGCTCGTACGGTTTTCCAGGAAACCCTGTAAGGAGACCCGAAACTTGTGGTACACTGGTTCAAGCCTCATGGTTCCAGAAAATCAAACTGTTATTTGCATTGCAAGGTTGTATTGATTCCTTCATTTATGTGTTCATCCAGTTCTAAAATAATAATGATGATGATGACGATACTGAGAATAATAATAATAATAATAATAATAATAATAATAATAATAATAATAATAAAGATCATGATGATAATCATAATAATAATGATAATAAAAATAATGATAATGATGATAATCATAATAAGAATGATAATGATGATAATAACAATAATACTAATGATAATAATAATAATAATAATAGTGATGATGATAATGATAATGATAATGATACTGACGATAAATAATAATAATGATAATAATAATGATAATATGTTTTTTGTTATAGCAATGATTATATAAAAAAAAAAAAAAAAAAAAAAAAAAAAAAAAAAAAAAAAAAAAAAATACTAATAATAAACTATGGCCAAAGCGATATCGTACTCATAGTGGCCTACTTGTGTATCACAGAAAGGGCAGTTTTCAACGCTGACTCGTGGAGGCGACGACTCGACGGAAGTGCGAGGTTCGATGTTTGTGTGATGACTCCACTGCAGATTGACATGCAGCCCAACAAGGGGGTCCCCCAAAAAGGAGACTCTTCGAAAGGTGGAGAGGGTTTTGGAAGATCGTGAAAAGGCCACCAGTTCACTTTCATGTTGCAAAAAGAGTACCAAAACTAAAGACATATGGGTTCGTCTCACAACCGGGAGACGCAACCAAAGGCTGGTTTCCCTTTGCTTCCCCCGTCAACCACGCCTTGGGCTTCCTTTCTTTGAGCCCGTGGACTTCATTTCAGCTCCCTTGGGCCGTTGGGAGTTCAACCGGACACATTTGGATCTCAACACGCCGTTGGTTTACTTCCTCCAGATTTGAGGGCTTAGAATAAGTTGCCACCCACTTTTTCTCGGGTGCTTTCTGCTCCCCTGCTAAAAGTGACTAACTTTTAGTGGTTTAATGGAAAACCCATGAGTTGGCAAAAAGTAAAAGTCCTAACATCCAAGCAAAATGCAACAAAGTTGTGCTGTAGTCTATTTTGGGGGAACCCTCCCAACCAAAGAAAGGGTGAGAAAAAGGGCACCAATTGCTGGGGGACAGGTTTACAGACCGAAGCGGAACCCACGGAACCCACGCCATGCTCCTTCTGGCACTCCGCGATGGCGCGGCCGTAGATGCGCCGTGCCCGATCCAGCTCCAGCTGGCGCACCTCGCCGGGCACCCGGGGGGGGGGGGGGGTTGGGGTACTCGGATGGCGCACCTAGCCGCGGCCATAAAAAGGGCACCTCGGTTCTGGGGCGGGGGGGAGGTTGGGTTACTTAGAGGATGTTGAATAGCAATGTCTGTAAGAGCACCTCGTTTGGGGCCCTTTGAGTTGTGAGACACACCCTGCAAACTAGGTGGGGGGGGGTGTCTTATGGGAGATGATCCGTCACACGTTGGCTGAATCCCACATTGACATGGATTCAGACGTTGAGCCCAAAAAACGGATTCTCAACACCCAACTAGCACAGTCATAACTCTATGTAAAGCCAACAAGGAACAAGGCAAAAACTCACATCATGTCTAGAATCTCCTTTTGGGGGGACCCAGACCCTGTTCGGGGTTCCATGTTAGTTTGCAGGGGAGTAACCTGTGGAAAACCGACCCGTTTACGTGAACGTGTTAAACTCGGGGAAGTACCCTCTTGGGCACATAGCAGGGCAACAAAATTGGGTTTGCAGGTCCTATAGGCTATGTTAGAGGAAGTGTTCCATGGGCAAATAGGTAACATTCTGTGGAAAACAGAGTTTGAAGGGCAGCCAAAAGTAAACAATCCAGTGCAACTTCCATGGGCAAATAGGTAACATTCTGTGGAAAACAGAGTTTGAAGGGCAGCCAAAAGTAAACAATCCAGTGCAACTTTAAGAGACATCCACATGGTCGTTTGACGGCATCTTGAACATAAATTCAAAAGCAAGTTGCGCTTTGGGAAAGCTGCAGAGAGTAATAGCATGAGTGGCCGCAGTGGTGGCATCGTCCTCGTCGCCGTCGTCATCATCATCATCATCATCATCACCATCATCATCATCATCATCATCATCATCATCATCATCATCATCATCATCATCATCATCATCATCATCATCATCATCATCATCGTGCTCCTCCTTGTCATCCTCCTCTCCTCTTCCTCCTCGACATCGTTATCGTCATCGTCATCCTCGTCATCGTCATCCTCGTCATCGTCATCCTCCTCCTCATCATCAGCATCAGCGTCTTCTTCTTCTTCTTCTTCTTCTTCTTCTTCTTCTTCTTCTTCTTCTTCTGCTTCGTCTTCCTCTTCCTCTTCTGAATCCGCTTTTTCCGCCATCATCAGCGTCATCATGAAAGAAGCAATGTCTCTGCACACCCCGCAAGCTGTCAACTATTACGTGGTGCCATGGACTCGCATAATGTGGACCCGGTTTTAGTGGGGAGTTATCACTTTTGGAGAGGAACACCCCCAGATTAATAAACATTAGACATGTTGACATTAATAAACATTAGACATTATTAAACCCCCCCCCACCCCACTTTTAGACATGTTGACCCCATGGGGTTTATGAATCGGTCAACATTGCTACTGATTGTCTAGCAGGATGTGTCGAACGAGCTCAACCCTGCTCCATGGGCCGAAGCTTTCGACATGGCGCAGGCTGAGCACGTCCATGGCGGATCGGCCATAGAAGGGCTGAGTTGCGTTTAAAAAAAAATGCATGGGTGTATACATATATATATATATACATATATATATATATATATGTATATATATACCTATGCTCAGTTGCCCAGACCAGCAAAAGCTTAACCTTTTGAGGCCACGACCTAACAAAAACGAGGTCAATAGGTCGGCTTTGGGCAAGCGAGTACATATTAATATACGGGAATGTTCGGAAAATTCATGACCTCAGCCTTGACGCGCAAGCGCGCAATGTTTGCCATGGCTCAAAGTTCCTCCAGTTCGCCCGCCCCGCGAAACCTGACTCGTGCCATGCCTGCTTCCCTTCATGGAAACCCTTATCATGCTTCTCTAAATGCGCTACCTCAAAGGAGTCCACGACCCTCTCTAGCAACCCGAAGCAACAAGGGTGTGTTGACCATGGCACATAGAGAGGAGGCGTCACAACCGGCCTCGAACTCCGCGTAGAGCTTCCAGATCTGGCGTGCCGCTCAAGCATTTGCTGGGGGGCAGCTTTTCTTGTTGGGCTTGCTAGACACATGGGCCTCGCAGAGCGCAGGCAGTTCCTACGAGGGAGGCACCCAACATTTGGCCACTTGAGCCAAGCCTTACTTGCAGGGCTTTGTCAAAGCGGTGTCCGCACTTTTGGAAAGGGGTCCAACAAGCGCCGTGTCCCAAAAGGGCCATGTTGCACTCTCAAGTTCCACCTTCCCAAAGTTCCATTGAGCCGTCGGATGCCGCGGGCTGAAACACCAAACACATAAGTAGTTCCCTCCGACTGACACATATCACCCAGGACCCCAAAAAGGTGGGGGGCTGGTGAGACACCCGAAACACCCCGGGACACCTGGGCCAAGACCTGCCTTGGCGAAGGAGAACTGCTTGTGCGGCACCGCTTTCAGCAAGGCCTCAGGCTTCAGGCGCCGCTGTTCGCTGCACCGAGCGATGTGTCTTTCTCAACTTGGGTGGGTGTCATGCACCGGACATCTTTTGCAAGTTGGAAAATGCGGCACCGCTGTTCGTTACCCATCGATCGTGATGGGTGCCATGCACCTTTGAGCATAGTTCCAGGCCAGCCCCACTGTGGATGTGGATCATACATGTGCCGATTCGAGGGCCTTTGAACGAGCGCTCGCCAAGTTAGTAGCCCTCATCAACGGTGGAAACAAAGGACGCCCTTTGTGTCCGCACTTCGAAAGGAAACATGTGTTTTGTTGGTCGGATCAAAACAACCGCCACCCCAAGAAAAAACACATAGCTTTGTTGACTGAAATTGCAACAGACCCCCTCCACCCAGGAACAAAATGAAGAAAAAACATCGAAACAAAGGGCGGAATGAGCACCCATCTCAATGCGTCAGCAGTCAGCCTCGGCTCCTATGGGCACCCCAGCGTCGTAGACGGCCCTTGCCTTCTCGATGTCACCCGTTTGCAGCTCCTGGGCGTGTTCTCGCCCCTTTGAAGCCGCGGTTGAAATGAGTCAGAATCAAAAACCGATCTGTATTAAAATCATCACAATCCCAGAACCATGTAAAGAATTAAGAAGGCGGATTTGCGCAGCTATTTATGGCACGGATTGTCCCTTAACCTTCACTTACCCGAATGTTGATTGTGACTCAAATGACAACCAAATGAAAGTCGTGAGCTTTTGGCAAGCCTCACAAACAATCGATCCTTTTCAAGCCCACAGAGCATCTTTCTGCGTGCGCAAGCATAGTATCAAACAAACAGCTGAGAACAAGCGGAAGTTCTGAAGAGGGTTATACCCCCAAGAAAAAGCCAAAATGGCCCTGTGCTTCAAGAGTTCTTCCGATTCCCAAACCTTGGGTGAGCCACTCCGCTAACGAAGCAATCTGTAAATGATTGGCAGGTGTCAAAACTGGAAGCATGACAAAGGTTGGGGCTTGCAGCCGAAAGAATCAAAGAGCACTTGTTTTGTTGTAAAAAAAAGTGTTGAAAAGGGGCTTGGTGGCCTTTCACTAGCTGAGTTACAACCCTGGATGCCAAAAAAGAGTGCAGCTCTAGAGTAGCACCATGGGTGGACGGGCCGCGTTTGATGGCGCGGGAATGTTTGGTCAGATGACTTTGGTTCCGGCGAAGGACGCGGTGATTTTTCGGGCTCGGCGCCTTGTGGAAACTTGGTGAGTTCTTGAACTTGGGTTTGGAGCGCCAGCCAACATGCATGGCCTGTTCAACATCGAGGGTTGGCCAACCCAACCCCTTCGCCACCTTGGCCCCTTCTTTCTTGGCCCCTTCTTTCTTGGCCCCCCCCCCCGCCTTGCGCCCCTCCCACCCCTCAGGCACGCATTTTCTTCGCCGCGAGCACGAGGCGCACCAAGCTGTTGGCAACCCCCCTCGCCGGCCTTCCGGACGCCTGGCATGGCACAAACAGGGCCTCACAGACCGCCGCCAAACAAACCTCGATCAAGGAAAACAACATGTGCAACTACTGTGGATGGTTGCGAAATCTTGCACCACGTTGAATCCATGGGAAACCATAGTTTGTTGGTATTTGCAGGGGCATCATCATTCCAGCGTAGACTCAACTTGCATCTGACGCCATGGCTCAGCCCCCAACTTACGACAGTCGATTCACTGGTCCAACCTGGCTTTGAGCGGCTTGCCCCTGACCATTCGTCTCACACGCCACATCCGCGCGTGTGTGTTCTGTCACAATCTAGTTTCCACGTCTCAGTCGACTGGACTCGCTCTCAACATCCGCGAAAACGATGGCCCCTCCCCCTCCATGCATTTCGCAAGGAAATTGGAGACGGTTCTGCATTCGTTCGGCCCCCATTCCTTTGGGGGTTCTAAATTAGGCAACAGCTCTTTGGGTTTGCCCTGCACATCCCAAGCAACAGGGACCCAAAATGGGGGCTCCACATGTTTAGCCCCTTTTTTGGTTCGAACCCCACTGTTGGTTGCGTTAAAATGGAACCCAAAGAGAAACCCATTTTGAGAAGCTCCCACTTCGGGGGAGGGGAATCACTCAACTTGGCCGCATCCCGCCTGCGGCGCCAGCGCCAGCGCATTGGCGCAAAGCACGGCACCTGCCCGGCAAACGTTGCGTCCGCGACGTGGCGTGAGACACTGTTGCAGGAGTTGGAAGGAAACTCAATGGATGTTGGTCCAAAACGAGTCTTACATGTGTCAAATACTGTAAGTAGTTGAACATCTGGGGAGAAAAGAGGACAAAGAGGTCTTCAGATTTTAGGGGTGCTTGGCAAGAAAGCAGTAGCCTTGCTGTGTTGTGTGAGGTGGCAAACCACTTTTGTACACGTGTTCCCACCAAACATGTTTGCAACTGGCGCTCTCCATTTGACCCAACACAAGCCTTCACTGAGAAAAATGCCAGGGTTTCAGGTGAGCTTCGGGGATGGGCGAAAGCCCTTTCCGCTCTCCCGCTGCCCGGTTCAAGCGAGGAATCCAATCCTTTCAGCTTCAACCACTGTTGTTTGCCTCACCAAATAGAAAACAAGGCTACTGTCAAAATTAAGCAAGCAGGAATTGGACCGCAGGTCTTAGTCCATGCTTCCATTTATCAGGATTCCTTTCTTGGTACCAATTTTTGACTCACTGCCATATCTTGCCAGGTCAAAGCGAGGCAAGCCTTTCAGCCCGCCTGCTCCCCGTCGATCAAAGGCATTTGCAAAGTGCTGCAGCAGCTCAGCTTGACGCTGCCACAGGCATCGCTGCTCGCTCTCCTGCGCTGAACAGCGGCAGCTTGACATAGAGCCCCGACATCCGCATCTCTTTTTTGGACGCCCTCCCTTGTCTTGCTGTGTTCCACGTTAATTTGTAGAAGGCTAAATGCACCGATGGCAGCAGAACCAACCAGCTGCAGAAGATGCAAGGATGTTTTGGTCTGGCCGTTCTTCAGGGCAGAGTTTGTCCAGCACATACTGCCTCCCGCAACATCATTCGCACCGGCTGGAAGCATAGTTCACTTCATCGTTCAAACACGTCGTGAGGGCCCGCCATAGGCAAAGACACAACCAGGTCAACCAAAAGTCGCTATCAGTTGTCCACCAAGGGCACCTGGGCCGTGCAGCGTGCGGCGTGCGCAGATGGATTCGAGGCTTCAAAACCCAGAGACGAAGACCCCCAGCCGGGTAAGGGAGACCACGTGGCATGCCATCTTTTTCGGTCGCACAACAACTTCCCGGCAAGGCATGAACAGAGTCTCAAGTCGAAGTTGGATCAGTCGGGTGAAGGAATGGGAATGCTGAAAGGTGCCATGGCGCCAGGCCTGCATTTGCGGGCAGGGGCGTGAGTTTCCGGTGATTCGTTTGTAACAATGCAGACTCAACATCTGATGTGCTTCTAAGATTGATCTGGGTGAATTCTGATAATTATCCTGAACCTGAAATGAGGGAGTCCCCAAGAAAGCAACCTTCATCATGAGGTCGCCCGGATCCCGTTGTGAGGAGTCACTATGTGCCCAGCCAACTGCTTGGTTGCAGGGGGACCTGCACTTCCCCGTCACACAACACTGTTACAGAGTCCCCATGTCGAAGCACGGAATAAACCTTGCAGATTCATAGGGGTGTTTCTCGACAAGGGGAAACTGGTCCTTTTGGTTTCCTCTGAATAAAACAACCCCCCAAAACAAAAAGGTACCTGAAAAACACAGAGGCCCGTCCCGTCCCTCCCTCCCGCCATCATCAGCTGCCGCGCCGCCGCAGGCGCAACGTGCACAGAAGCGACGTCGTCTGAAGCCCTGTGCCAGACGTCAAAGGCGCGCTCCCACTTTGAGGCCTGCCTCGGGTGGTGCTTTTTTGCGGCCCATTTGGCATATTGGGAAAAACAAAAGAAAGCCAGCCAAAGCTGCTGCTTTTCTCGCGGATTCCCCCCGTGACCTGTGATACAGGCTCAATGTAAGGAGCCTTCATACCGTGTGAGGCCCTTGAGGTCGAAGAACAATTGTCCCAGACTCGGGGAAAAAGGTGAAAGGAGGACAACTCTGGGCTGTTCCCAGACCCCCTGCTAAAAGTTTCACTCTTAGTGGTTGAGTAGAAACTACTGCTACACCGACTAAGAAGCTAAAAACCTCAGGAACCGGATGGTTGGTTTGAAACATAAACACCCTTGGTTTTGCATCGAGGAACATGCCAACAACAAATGCACTGGAGGTCTACTCAGAGAAAACCTCAGCCGGGCTACAGGCAGGCCGACACCAAGGAGCAGTAGGTGATCCTCGGAGCGCGTAGTGTGTTTTTTCTCCGGGTGCATTTGGAGTGACAAAACACGCGCTCGCTTCCGAAAGTCGGGGGGGTGTTTTTGGGGTTGGGGGGGGGGGGAGAAACCTAAAGGCTGCCCTGGAAACATGAACGTGGGCGGTGGACCGTGATGCTGCAAAGGCCGGCCTAAGGATACCATTCCACCCCCCACCTTTGGCCTGCCTTCATGTGAAAGAGGGAACCTTGTCACTGAAACTTCCTCCTGATTCCGTGGCCTACCTCAGGCGTGTTGGAAAGAAAAGGAGGGCATGCGAGGCATCCACCTCCTCGGCCAGTATTCATGCCAAAGAAACGTCCCGTGCAGCAACTGACTCCTGCCATCCACCAAGACACATGATGAACTAAAACTAGACCTTGCCAATCAAAGGCAACCACAACTCAACCTTCTCGGAAACTAGCCCGGAACCCCCGAAACCTTTCTCGGAACCGCCCCGTGAACCCCCGCAACCACACCCCTCCTATCAGGGCAAAGACAGGCCCAAAGCTTTCAGCAAAGGTTATGAAAAACAGGATTTTTTTTTAAAAAAAAAAGGACAAGGCAAGCGCAGACCTAAACCACCAAGAAAAAGTGGCAAGGAAAAAAACAAAACGCAGGCCAGACTAAAAAAAAACAGAAGAGGAGGCGAAGCTCCGCCGGGCCGCTGGTTCTTCGGCCCTGGGTCGTCGAATGTCAGCGCCAGCGCCTGTTGCCAAGCCGCCGCCTTGTCGCAGGCGCCTCGGCCGGAAGCGGCGGGACCCGTCCGCCCGGGTCCAATGCAGCGCGGCGCTTGAAACGGGCGGCACGTCCCCTTTTGTTTTTGATATTTTTTTTGGCGGGGGGGCGGTCACCTCTTTTGGTGGGCTTCAGGGAAGCCAAAAGGAAACCATAATGAAACACTCAGGTACCCCCTTTCTTTGGCTTCGGCTGGGGGATTGAAGCAGTGGGAACCCAAGCAATTTGGGTGGGCAGAATTGGCAGGCCCCTTCTTGTGGTCCACAAGAAAAAGCAACAGTTGGAGGCAAGTTGGAGGGACTTTGTGTGAGTTGGAGTGGGTGAAAGCCTCACAGTACGCCCGTGCAAGTTGGAGTGGGTGAAACCCTCACAGTAGCCCAACAAAAAAAGCAAGAAGATACGTCAACAGTTCAAAAGCCGCATACATACATGTAGGGAACTCCCCAAAGAGCTACATTGGCGCTACATGAAACTCGTCACGCAAGCGGCGCATCTTTTATGTGAATCGGCTGCTCACTCCATAACAGCTCATGGGTCCGTTTCGCTGCCAATCAGCAGTGATCTCCCACCATCTGCCTTCCCGGCATTGTGGGTGAGAAAGAGGAAGCGCGTGGAACGACAATGTGCTTTTGTTTCGTCAGTGTGGGGTGAGGTGTGCTGTAGCAGTTGAACCGGTCTGCGTTGGTTTGTCGCCCTGAAACACGGACGTGACACATTAACGCACTTGGCCAGACCTCGGCCCTCCACGAAAAAGTCAACTGTTTGCTTGCTAGAAAAAAAGTTGGTTCTCGGACCTGTCAACGAGCAAAGGGCCAAAAGAGCTTCTCACGAAGTTTGGACCAAAGGATTGGCGGCATCAGCGGAGCTTGTGGTGGACTTGGAGCCCCAAAAAGGGTCAAATCACGAACTTGCAGGCACAGATTTGCTGGAAAGAATGACAAGAAAACGGACACCAAACACGCAGGCCTTGTTTTCCTCACCACTCAGACTCTGAAACACAAGGTAGAAAAGCGTCTGGAGGCCACCACCCCCCCTGAAGGAACAACAAGGTACCAACCCCTTACACAGTGGCTGCCAAAGTGTCCCATGCAATGCTGGGGGGAAGTTCTTTGCGTCTACCTAAGACTGCAGGAATTCTCGCAGCCTCCTGCCAGCTTCCTTCAGCTCGGACTCGTCTTCGGTCATGGAAGGGCGGCGGATGGGCCCAAACAGCAACGTGAAAGGACAAACAAAGTCTGACGTGGGGGTCGCGCCCCTCCCCAACTGCCCAACGCTCCGCCAAGATTGAAACTTGGCGGAGCTGCCTGGGGCTTGGCCATTTCCCAGCCCGGTCAAAGGCGCGGGCGACAATTTCTTCTCCTCTTCCGCAACACATCATGCCCACGAGGCCAAAGAGGCCCAACGGACGCCGGGCATAGCCCATGGAAATCAGCCGGGCCATTAAGCAAAATGTCTTTGCAAACCTGTCTTATCCAGCTGGCCAGCATGGGGCTCCGGAACGGCCGGGATGGCTCTCTCGAAATGCTTCCGCAAAACCTGCGCGAGCGCTGGCGGAAGGCCAGGCCCATACCGATGCGGCAAAGCTCTTCGTTGCCGGAGTTCCGGGACTTGAGGATGTTCTTCAACTTGAAAAAGTCTTTCTCGTCGTGGTTCTTCTCCGCGCAGACGCACACTCCGTCCTCATTGGGATACGATGCCAGCTTGGGCTCGGCGAAGTAGTGGTAACGAGGAACAAACTCCCTCTTTCCTTGAGCATCCAACTTCATGGCCTTGCTCTTTCTGCCCTTGACTTTCTGTTGAAAGTTTCCACGGGCCGAGGTGAGGAGCCGGCTGAAGACGACGCGGGCTAGATGAGGCTACGCCTGACACGCAGAAGCTCCAGAAATTGAAGCGAGTGTCTCACGCCACTTCGGGCGTCTTTGCAAGCCTGCGCGCCCGCTGCACTTCCGCTGCCATTGACCCCATTCTTCGGCCCCGGTCAAAGCCAAACGTTGGCAGCCAGTTGCTGCTCTTCCTGGGTTCCGCTGAGTGCGTGCACAAACGTCAATATATGCGCGTCCTTTGCACGCGCAGTGTTTCTACAAAAGCGCTTCTAGAAACAAACTGCGTTTTGCCTGGAGTTATCAAAATAGATTGCGATTTAGGGGGCAGAAACTGTTCTCGAGCTATGCGGCTTCCGCAGTGGTTTGCTCGGGATCATTGACATAGCCCCTCGTTCCCGACAATGACAAAAACAAGCTGCGGCTTCTGCAGCGCTTTGCTCGGGGTCGTTGGCCTGGCCCCGACAAACACCCATTTGGCACGATCAAAGAAAACATGGAACTAGTGGCAAAAACAAGATGACGGGTTCTATGGGGCTCCGTGCGTTGGAGCCGCTGCGTGTCTGTGTTGCTGAAAGGTGTGCTTCGTGGAGGCAGCCTGCATGCGGCTGGTTGGAAATCAAGAAACCACGTGCCTGAAATCATGGAAGGGTTCCGTCAAAAGTGCCAAAGCATGGGCTTCACCTCCACAAAAACCCACATTTCGCGGTCCGTGTCTGCGTGACAAAGTTCTCACCTGGCTCGGCCAAGCTCCTGATGCTTGGTCAAAATCAAAATCTGGGGCCCACCGTCACCGCACACTTCAGGGGCTAGGTAACCTCTCAAGAGCTCCGTGCTCTGCATTGAGCCAGCTAGCAGTCCAGGCCAACTGTCTCCTGAATCATTTACAGGGGAAGTGAGAAACACAGGAATCAGCAGAATCCCTATCTGAGCCAAAATGCTCTTCTGGGGAATTAAGCCAAGCGCACACCTACGGCTACACGTTTGCCCAATGTATGTGTGTATGTATGAACGTACGCACGTATCTGTATTGTATAGTATCGTATAGTATCTTATCGTACCCATTTATGTATGCATGCATGCATGCATGCATGCATGTATGTATGTATGTATGTATGTATGTTAGTACGTAGGTATGTATGTGTGAATGATCGTATAGTATCGTATAGTATCGTATAGTATCGTATAGTATCGTATAGTATCGTATAGTATGGTATAGTATCGTATAGTATCGTATAGTATCGTGTCGTATCGTATCGTACCCATTCATGTATGCGCGTACGTACGTACGTGCGTGCGTGCGTGCGTGCGTGCGTGCGTGCGTGCGTGCGTGCGTGCGTGCGTGCGTGCGTGCGTGTGTGTGGGTGCGTGCGTGCGTGTGTGTGGGTGCGTGCGTGCGTGCGTGCGTGCGTGCGTGCGTGCGTGCGTGCGTGCGTGCGTGCGTGCGTGCGTGCGTGCGTGCGTGCGTGCGTGCGTGCGTGCGTGCGTGCGTGCGTGCGTGCGTGCGTGCGTGCGTGCGTGCGTGCGTGCGTGCGTGCGTGCGTGCGTGCGTGCGTGCGTGCGTGCGTGCGTGCGTGCGTGCGTGCGTGCGTGCGTGCGTGCGTGCGTGCTTGCGTGCGTGCGTGCGTGCGTGCGTGCGTGCGTGCGTGCGTGCGTGCGTGCGTTGTGTGTGTGTGTGTGTGTGTGTGTGTGTGTGTGTGTGTGCGTGTGTGCGAGTGTGCGTGTTTGCGTGTG